AGCTGATTCAGCCAACTCAGAAAAAAGTGTTTTGCTCACCTAAATATTTGGTCAGCACATCAGGGCGTCAGCTTCCCATGATGTACAAAAAAGCAATCAAGCTGTACCATTAAGTTGTTTGTCAAGACCATCAGGATTATTCATAAACAGAAACAAGCTGACTAATGAGGAGCCAGAAAATATTTCAATTAACTCTAGGGAGCCGGTCGGCCGAGCGGACAGCACGCTGGACTTGTGATCCTGTGGTCCCGGGTTCGATCCCGGGCGCAGGCGAGAAACAATGGGCAGAGTTTCTTTCACCCTATGCCCCTGTTACCTAGCAGTAAATAGGTACCTAGGTGTTAGTCAGCTGTCACGGGCTGCTTCCTAGGGGTGGAGGCGTGGTCGAGGACCGGGCCGCGGGACACTAAAAAACCCCGAAATCATCTGAAGATGACCTCAAGATAGCTGAATCTGAGGTCACAGGTGAATCTGAGCCTGAATCTGAGGTGAATCTGAATCAGCTCCAGGCGTTACATGGCCCTTAACCCGTTCCTGGTACAAGAGTTGACCAAGTTCTGGAATGATGTTTGTTACCCGCTGTTGAACTTTCTCCAATACGGCTACGACTTTCTGAAGATTAGGATTCCATGCTTGGATACAATAATCGAAATTAGAGCACACCAGAGATTTAAACACAAACTACCTTCTTTTCGGTTCGTTTCTCCAATTACTTTTTATATGAAAGCAACGAACCCAGATCCGAATTAGCCAATGGTGGGCCTGCCACTGAATAGACTCGGTAGAATAGAATAGAAAGGTGGCCGCCCCATGCTCCACCACAGTGTAAACAATGATTTGTGTTAATATTTTCTATTAGATAAGCTGCAGAGCCCTAAAATTCCCATAGTCCGTGCTACTTAGAGCTTTTTGTTCCAGGTAGCGAATCTTTAACAACCCTAAAATTCCCAGACAGCCTGAAACTGCCGTCAGCGTTACTCCAGAATACAGGATTGTTGCCATTTTGCTGTTGTAGTTGTATATCTCACCTGCAGGCCGCCCTCAGCCGTGGTGGGCTCCTGGTGTGCCCTCAGTCGTGGTGGGCTCCTGGTGTGCCCTCATCCGTGGTGGGCTCCTGGTGTGCCCTCAGTCGTGGTGGGCTCCTGGTGTGCCCTCAGTCGTGGTGGGCTCCTGGTGTGCCCTCAGTCGTGGTGGGCTCCTGGTGTGCCCTCAGTCGTGGTGGGCTCCTGGTGTGCCCTCAGTCGTGGTGGGCTCCTGGTGTGCCCTCAGTCGTGGTGGGCTCCTGGTGGGCCCTCAGCCGTGGTGGGCTCCTGGTGTGCCCTCAGTCGTGGTGGGCTCCTGGTGTGCCCTCAGTCGTGGTGGGCTCCTGGTGTGCCCTCAGCCGTGGTGGGCTCCTGGTGTGCCCTCAGTCGTGGTGGGCTCCTGGTGTGCCCTCAGTCGTGGTGGGCGGCCGGCTTCTGCTCTGCCGGAGGACACTGGATGACTTTTTGCGTTTTAGTTGGGGGCCGAGTTTTGGTTTTGTTACCTGTGTTCTCTGTGTGGGGCGGGGCCGGTGCTTGTCACCCTGAGGGACTCCTGGGACTCCCCAATCATCTGCCTGACTGTGCGTTAATTGCCGTATGGCATATTAGTTTCTAGTGATTGGCGTCACTCGTTTCGCGTTTTGGCTTGGCGTTTCGCCTTTCCTAGCTTTGCGATTCACCCTTCACGGGTACGCCGGGGCGCATCCGATCCCACGATCGTCGTCGCCCCTAACTCAACAACAACAACAACAACAACAACACCGGCGTCACGCGCCGCCAGGTCCTGTGTAACTCACTAGTGCACCAATAATTTGGAAAAATAAAAGAGGTGGCTGTCGTCGCCCGGGCTTTTCATAGTGATTTGAAACAGTTCTGCGTTCATTTGACAGCGCCTCCTAAAATGAAAGTACTTATGGTAACTATTTGATGGAAAGTACCAATATGTAGTGATGGACCACCAGAAAGTTGACTTTTGTATTAGTGAATTTGGACATACGGGAAACATTTTTAATGGCAATATAAATGTAAGATCTAACCTAACCTAATCTCTTCTAGCAATCCTAGGCTTTATACATGCTATCTTAGGCCTAATATAGTACATATATATATGTTATACTAGGCCTAGGAATATTTAAGATTGATTTTTAGCTTCATTTTTTCCAGACTAAAAAAATGTTAAGTACAAAAAGTGATTTATTGATGATCCATGACAATATATTAGTACTTTCGACCACATAGTGACCTTACGTACAGTACTATCATTCCAGGAGGATGGGCTGGAATTTGCATACTAGACAAGTAGGGAGTAATTTCAACAGTACAGTTCGCATCTTGATTTTACAAGTGAAGGAGTAACCGAGTAACAGTAGGCTTATGCAAATTGATGACTAGGCTTTTAATCTTGGTTAATGTGCATGTACACAGTGAATCTTTTAGTTGAATTCTTATTTAATTCACAATATAAATAATTCACAATATATATATATATATATATATATATATATATATATATATATATATATATATATATATATATATATATATATATATATATATATATATATATATATATATATATATATATATATATATATATATATATATATATATATATATATATATATATATATATATATATATATAATATATATATATAATATATATATATAATATATATATATATATATATATATATATATATATATATATATATATATATATATATATATATATATATATATATATATATATATATTATTTAGTGCCTACTGGATTGGGGGCCAGACCAGAATGACAATGATATAGATAAATTATTCGAACAGTTCCATGGCACAGACGTAACGAGACTAGTGTTTACAAAAATACAAGAGGGATATAACAAACTGTGTACTTTAATATTATATATATTTATTTTTGGCTTATGGTGGCAAAAGAAAAGACAGTTTTTTCCAGCTCAGCCGTGACGGATGAGGTGGTGATCCCTGTCATAAGTCTATCTCAGCCGTCAGTGTCACAAGTCTGTTTCAGCCGTCAGTGTCACAAGTCTGTCTCAGTCGTCAGTGTCACAAGTCTGTCTCAGTCGTTAGTGTCACAAGTCTATCTCAGTCGTCAGTGTCATAAGTTTGTCTCGGCCGTCAGTGTCACAAGTCTATCTCAGCCGTCAGTGTCATAAGTCTGTCTCGGCCGTCAGTGTCACAAGTCTATCTCAGCCGTCAGTGTCATAAGTCTGTCTCGGCCGTCAGTGTCATAAGTCTATCTCAGCCGTCAGTGTCACAAGTCTGTCTCAGCCGTCAGTGTCATAAGCCTGTCTCAGCCGTCAGTGTCACAAGTGTCTTCCAGTCATCGTCGTAACACTGTCACAATCCGTTTTAAGTAACAGTGACTAACATTAGTCCTGTCACTCAAGCTGTGCTGCAATAAAACTTTGTCTTGTTTATGTCAAAATCATCTTGTCTTGTCACTTGTCTCTTCCAATCACTCGGCTCAGTCACTTGTTTCCCCCAATCACTCGACTCTTCAAGTTGTAGTTACACTAAAATCTCTCAGTATAAGCCACAATACTCTAACAGTTACATTAAAAGGGAGTCACAGTCAATAGGACCGTCTCAGATATAAAACATCATGTACAGTCACTAATGAGCCACAGTTAGTAAGTTGGATGTCTGCTTTAGGTAGTGACAGTCGAACTGTCATCATGTTTTGGTTGTCATTTTTATATATTTAAGGTCAAGTCATGTGGATATCCAGTCATAATTACTGTCATTGACATACAGAGGGATTCATTCACCGGGAGATGTAACCCGCTTTTCGGTGCATATACACATAGTTTACTGTAGTCTTTGGGAATGTCTAAGACTAATGCCTTCTGGCTGGTCGGTCAGTAAGTACTTGTGTGTTAATTGCCTCTAGTGGTTGATAAGACTTAAGCCCAACATCATTACCACGATTGACGCAAGTCTTTCTCAGTGAGGTACTTTCAGGTGTTCATTATCTAAATCGACTCTCATTCATTCACGAGTCTGTCTCAGCTAAACTCAGTCAATAAATTTTCTGAAGCACGGCTTACAGAGCATGGCGTGACGCAGTGGTTGACGGGAGCGTCACTCGGTGGGTTAGGTACCATTGGATCTGGACGGTAGAATTTCCATTTACCGTCCTGTCCTGTAAACTGGAGTTTACCGTGTGGATAGCCTCGCCCATAGCAACACATTTGACTCAGTGGAGAGCATCAGCCACAACAGACCAGCTCCACAGCCTCGGTACTTAGATACGAGTCACATCCTATACAAGGTTCTCCGACGCATTGTTAAAACATACCTAACCTCTTCTAACTCAACCCTAACTACTCTAACACAGCCTAATCTAAACTAAACCATCCTAACCTAACCATTTGACAATCAGAAAGCCTTGTCGAACTGTCTTGTGAACAATTTGCCGATGTTGACCAAACCACACACTAGAAAGTGAAGGGACGATGACGTTTCGGTCCGTCCTGGACCATTCTCAAGTCGGTGAAGTCGAATGGTCCAGGACGGACCGAAACATCGTCGTCCCTTCACTTTCTAGTGTGTGGTCTGGTCAACATACTTCAGCCACGTTATTGTGACTCCTCGTCTGCAATTTGACAATAAATCGTGCGTATTCCATGACAGTCTTAACGAGAAACATCTTCACGAACAGTATCATCTAAGAGGGAACACATCCTCAGGCAGTCATTATCTTGCTTCATAATCAGTCACTACCCCGGCCACACCACTCTACAGATGCCAGAGTGACCCGTATAGAGCCTACTCACCGTCGCAAGGCTCGCCTGCTGCCTTCCTGCGCCCTCTACCTTAGACAGTTTGACATAAATAAAATTAGGGAAAAATAAGACGGCTAATGGAAATTACTTTTGTGTTGAATAATATAAAAACAAAACAATTTTATTACTGAAGATGAGTTAGAGCCAATGTGTTAATAAAAATATTTCGGGCATCAATTGATAACAATGATTTATTAACAGTCAACAATAGCACCAAGAGGGGACTTTAATCACAGTTACAGACGTTCTCCCACAGTCTCAGTCGAACACTCATATACTCAAAATGATTTGTAACAGAGAATCCTTCGTCAACAAAAATACAATCACAGGTGTCACCAGTAGTCCCCATTGTTGCTGTGTTTACGGTGTTGCTTGCGAGCTCTACCACCCAATATGGGTGGCGCTGTGGTCGTGTCATCCCGAGCAATTATTTAAGCAACGATATCTATTTACGAAGTCTATCGACACTTTTGTCTATGTACATCAACATTTATATCTGTATGAGACCAAGTCACAAGAGATATCTTTGTGTCTTAACCTGTAAATCTCTGTTGTGCATATTTGAGAATCCGGTTTCATTATAAGTATCGTTGATAAACTTCGCAAAATGAACTTAAGTGTGTTTACTGCAAGTTGCCAAGAGCTTTCTGTACTTCGGCAAATACATCATCAGGAGAGCTGAGGGCCACGATGGTGCTGCACTTGTCCTTGTAGTAGTCGATGACGGGCTTGGAGTGCTTGTGGAAAGTTGCCAGTCGCTTCTTGATGGTCTCCTCGTTGTCGTCGACGCGGCCGGAAGTCTTAGCGCGGTGCAGGAGTCGCTCCACCATCACCTCGTCGGGGACCTCGAAGTACAGCACCTTGGTACACGGCATGATCTGCACGACATAAGCCATACTTTATAGTATTTGTTAACCAAAGTCACAGTAGCGTAATGTATCAATGAGAAAATTGTGGATCACAACAATGGGTCTGTCCGTAGTTTGGGTGTCTAGGGAGGCCAGTGATGCCAGGTCCCTCTCACCGTAATGCTCAAACATTTTACTGTTTATGATAAATATGACGAGGGGGCAACTACACCTTAATGTGTACTCAGCTTCACGGTTTATATACAATGACAGTTAACTTTAGAAAAGAATAATAAGATCCAGGACTGAAGTATACTTGCTGGATGGTCATTAAGCACTTGTGTGGCCTTAATCACCCTCCAGCGGTTGACAGGCCTTTAACCCAACACTAAACCACCTAATAAGGTACGTATTACACTGAAAATTACGTTAAACAAAGTTTTTAGTAAACTAAGGCGTAATTTTTTGTCTAAGACAATATTTTTCTTGTCAAAAAATATATAACCAAAGAAGAAAAAGGTGAAGTAAGGCGCTGCATGGGTCCATAAGACTTCTGCAATTTCATTAGTTCTTGTGTTACATGGGCAGTGTGTGCTGGATGTTCTGCCATGGTGCCAACGACGGTGGAATGTACCTAAGTGTGAGCTACCTGTTAAAAGTTGGTTGAGATTGTTTGATATGTGGTGCTTCGCTGATGTCTAATCTTCTATTGTTGCAGCTGTCGACTATTTTGGTGTTGTTCGTTAGGATATCTCAGATGATAATCTGGTTGTGTGTAAAAATGACGTTCTTTGATGGAGCCTTGAGGTTATCTTAAGGTTATCTTGAGGTGATTTCGGGGCTTTTAGTGTCCCCGCGGCCCGGTCCTTGACCAGGCCTCCACCCCCAGGAAGCACCCCGTGACAGCTGACTAACACCCAGGTACCTATTTTACTGCTAGGTAACAGGGGCATCGGGTGAAATGCCCTATGAAATGAAATTGAAATGGAGTTGTCTTGCCTATATACTGAGATCACTGGGTTGACAGTCCCCAAGAGGGTATGTGAAGACAAAGATGACATTCATCTTTTTCCAAGCCATTTTACTTGGCATCGGGAGAGTTCTTCACGAGGAAGTCGGCGGCCTTGTTGCTCTTGGAGTAGAGAGTCAACTCTATCTTCTGGTTTGTGTCGGTAGGGATCACATTTCTATCAATAATGTCTTGTCAGGACGCCTTTCTCAGTTTTGTGAGCTGTGGAAAAGAAGTTACAGTAAGGTGGTTAAGAGGATGAGACAGACTCTGTAGTCTTGATGGCTTCATCAGAGGCAGCATGACGGTTCAACTTCCTTTTAATGACATCTTCGACATATCCGTTAAGGCAAGGTAATTATCAGGAGAAAGCAATAAGATATTACGACTAGCACTTGGAAGGGAAGATGATATGGATTTGGGACAGGGCGCAGGAAAGGGATGGTGCCCAACCATTTGGACGGTCGAGGATTGAGCACCGACCAGTGCCCCCAGACGATCGCTGATGCAGTGGTCAGAATACCAGTGCTGTTGATGAGGAAGTGTCCCTGGCGGCCTGGGTTCGAGTCCTCTGTGGGGTCATAGTGTTAAAGTGTTATATGTGCTTGGAGACCATTCAAGCTTTGCTCACACACACAGAGTATATTATATATATATTATATATATGTCGTACCTAATAGCCAGAACGCACTTCTCAGCCTACTATGCAAGGCCCGATTTGCCTAATAAGCCAAGTTTTCATGAATTAATGTTTTTTCGACTACCTAACCAACCTAACCTAACCTAACCTAACCTAACATTTTCGGCTACCTAACCTAACCTAACCTATAAAGATAGGTTAGGTTAGGTTAGGTAGGGTTGGTTAGGTTCGGTCATATATCTACGTTAATTTTAACTCCAATAAAAAAAATTGAACTCATACATAATGAAATGGGTAGCTTTATCATTTCATAAGAAAAAAAATATAGAAAATATATTAATTCAGGAAAACTTGGCTTATTAGGCAAATCGGGCCTTTTATAGTAGGCTAAGAAGTGCGTTCTGGCTACTAGGTACGACATATATATATATATTGGGGGGGGGGGTTTATGTAGATAAAAAGTGGATATAAGGAGTAGAGTTGAGGAGACAGAGAGGAGTGAGAGGGGATACTGTACCGACTGCTCGAACTGGACGCCCTGGGCCTGTTCTCGAGGATAACCGTCGATGAGGAAGCCTTTGGAGGTTGAGACCCGCGCCAGCATGGCCTCCGCCAGCAGGTCCAACACCACCTCCTGTTGGTCATCAGTAACTGTCACCACCACAATCTCGCCCCTTCAACCAACACAATTACTATCCACAATCTTTGAAAATAAAATAATTTTCGTTGACTTTATAAACAGAAAACGAAACCACAACACCCAAATACACGTGAGATATTACATATATATAATATAGATTACATATATATAATATATGACTAAATTATGAAAGTGTTAGTAAAGTGGAACATGTTGAGGTGGTAGCTGACCAGAGGGACGAGGTCGCCCTTCTCCATGATGGCGTTGAGACTCTTGCCCCGCTCCGAGCCCGAGCTGACCTCCTCCCTCAGCAGGTCGCCGGAGGAGAGGTGGGTGTAGCCATACTTCTGCACGATCTTGTCACACTGCGTCCCCTTCCCGCACCCGGGTCCTCCTGCACAGTCACAACACATTATTACTGTAAATACTCCATCCCTCACACATGCGAAATGGAAGTGACAGCATTTTGTAACCGTTTTGAGTGCCACTCTGCTTGTATAATAATAATAGTAATAAGAAAATTATTTGAAGCAATAAGGCGACTCGAACCAACGTTCTGATGTCTACTAGACGCACACCTTAACCCTTGTACCATGACATGGGATAAATTATACAACCTGGGATTCAACTGAATCCACAGGAAATCTGGAGGAACTTGTGGGAATCTGGAGGCCCTTACTGATGTAAACACATAACCCCCAAGTACTGTGGTGAAGGTAAAGTTAGTGTGATATCTTCGTGTATCTGAAGCCGGGTGATGACCTACTTTACCTACACCACAGTGTTTGGGGGTTATGTGTACGCTTCAATAGGGACCTCCACACTTCCTGTGGATTCAGTGGAATCCCAGGTTGTATAACTTATACCATGGAATGGTATAAGGGTAAGGTGCGCGGCTGGGAGTACCTTGATCGCTAGTTCCAGTCATCTCATTTCTCTAATTATTTTTTTTCAATAATACAAATAATATATTACTAAAATGTATTCTTACAAAATATATACATAACAATAAAATTAATTTTTGTGCAAGCTGTGTTTATATATATCTTCATCAAGGCATGTACACATATTATCTATTTTGCTTGTGTAGTTGACCAGATACTGTTAGAGGTGAGAGGTGTTGGCACCGCGTGGCACCAGCTGTGGCACACCGCTGCACCTCTACTGTAGCTTCTGCCAGGAATCCCAGGCACGTCTTGCCTGGCCTCGGGAGATGTGGGTGTGAGCAAGAACCTGTCGTAGCCACCTCTAACCACAAATTTAAGGCTACATTCAACAAGGCATGCGAACGACAGACTAGTTCAACTATGACGCAACTGGCACAATAATGGTGGTAGACGGGGGACAGGGAGCTAGAGCTCGTACCCCTGTGGTCACTGCTAGGTGAGCAGCGTAAGGTTGTCCACAGTACTGGTGACTACTGCAGCGCCTCACCCAGCTGGTCAGGTCAGTCTTCACATACACTTCTTGTCTTCAACATGTCCATTGTCTATTGAATACATACATGGGCCAGGACTTTACGTGTCCTCTTACGAAACCTGTACATCTTTCGTAGGTCATGGCAGCTTAGTCTGTATTAAACAGTTCATGACCTTCGTAGCTTCACAACACATGGTTATCAATGTTTTAAACAACGGGTCCAGCTAATTACCCAAAGCCTCCAAGCATTACATTAATAATGAAGAACTATGACATATTTACTCACTATAATATTGTGTTCAATGTAGAACATCAAAACAAAAATTATCTGAAATAATATCATTTTCATAACGAAATTAGAGGAAACTAGGCAGGTGACGCCACAGGAATTCGACGATCCAAGCGACAATGTTGTGGCTTTGGGTAATTAGATGGACCCAATTTCGCTATAAAATTATATTATTTCAGAGTAAAAATATGTTTTTCATGTTCTACATAGAGCATCAACATTACAGTGAGTAAATATATCATATTTGTTCGTTACATGCCAGGAGGCTTTGGGTAGCTTTGGGCAATTAGCTGGACTGTAAACAAATTATGCCGAGTGATGACAGATGTACAGGTTTCGTAAGTAGAGACTAAACTGGTTGATGACTCGTGGCTCAGGCCAGGTAAGGGTGAGGCTGGTGCTTGTAACATCACACTGTCAAGCTCCTCAGGTGCAGCACAACACTTAATTGATTAATGCTTCCTTTCATTCACTTTTTCCTTGCCATCAACCTCTCACTCCTCATTATCTTCCCTCCCTCCCCCTTCCAAGAGGCCAAAGTTGACGTACCCAAGACGAAGATGACAGGTAGTTTGGAGTCCTTGAGGGGCTTCAAGTCCAGCTGTTTCCTCTCTACGGGAGCCTGTGGACGACACAACACTAAGTCTTACACAATGATATTAACATTCAAACATTGATAACGTATTTACACACAGAGAGTGCCATCACAGAATACAACGTCACATTGCCGGCCATGAGTCACATTAACGTGGCTGAAGTATGTTGACCAGACCACACGCTAGATAGTGAAGGGACGACGACGTTTCGGTCCGTCCTGGACCATTCTCAAGTCAATTGTGATTATTGCATGTTGTTATAGATTCAGCTACTGAGAACAAAAAGTTCCAAGTAGCACGGGCTATGGTTAGCCCGTAGTGGGCTTAACTGGCACAGGAGCGGGGCAGCAGTAGCTAGTGCCATGGCCATGGCGCTAGTTGTGTCGATGATTGCAGAAGAAGGCAATAAATAGGCGGAAAAGGGGTGAGAAGAAAATCTTAAGAGGAAGAGAAGGCAAAGCAAAGGCAGGGAAGGTAAGGTTGATAAAGTCGTCGTCGTCCCTTCACTTTCTAGTGTGTGGTCGTGTCAACAACGTCAGATTAGTTAGATAATAAACGCAGCAGGTACAACAAGGCTGGTGGGTGGGGCATGAAGAGCTAGACCTTGCTTTCCCGTTGTCACCGATAGGCAGATACTGATAAGTATATAATATATATATATATATATATATATATATATATATATATATATATATATATATATATATATATATATATATATATATATATATATATATATATATATATATATATATACACACACACAAACACTCTGAGTGTAATCGACTGTAAACAATCGATGGCTAAAAAGGCGGGATTCAATGGGCATTGCTCGATCCTGCAGACACAAATAGATGAGTACAAATAGGTGAGTATGAGTGTATATACACATACACACGCAGTCTGGGGGGGCTGGTGGCTGAGTTGGCAGCGCTTGGTACTCGTAATCCTATGGCCCGAGGATCGATCCCTGGCGATGGCGGAAACAAATGGGCAGAGTTTCTTTCACCCTGATGTTCCTGTTACCTAGCAGTAAATAGGTACCTGGTAGTTAGCCAGCTGTTACGGGCTGCTTCCTGGGTGTGAAAAAAAAATATTAATTGACAATTGGAGGCGGGCCGTAAGAGCCAGAGCTCAACCCCCGCAAGCACAACTAGGTGAAAACACACACACACAAAGTGACCAATATTCTGTTTGTATTCTCCGTAGTTTCTATGTTCACAAAGAGCTCTGCCTCTCAGCCCATCTTTATCTCACCATTTGTGCCACTCAGCCAACCTCTAACTAGAAACGTGGCAAAGAAAAGTAGGGAAAGAAAATGTCGACATGTCTGAGGCACTGGCTGACACGCGGGACGCTTCTAATTCAGAACCGGCGGCAAATATAATACTGGAACGCCTCTCCTCACTCCTAAATAAACTAGACAGATATTTTCCACATATATATTTGAAGGGGATTTGAAGCCGAGTAGAAATCGTTTTCCTACAGATATTACTTCTGTTAATGATAATATTCGGGAAGACTATCTTGACCTTGTGCTGGTGAAGTCTTGGAGAAGGAGTCAGTTATTAAGTTGTGGTGTGAGACATCCAGGGCGTACTAGGGGGTTGTAGGCCAAGCTCCGCGTTCCACTTTACTTGTCCTAGCAACATTTTTGTGTGAATCAGAATTTTCCAGCTTACTCTCATGAAATATAAAGCAAGATCTAGATTAAATGTGGAAGGTGACCTTGGATGTGTCTGCGCCAACACTGCTCCTCTGCTTCCCAAGCCAGCAGACCAAGAGCAGCGTCTGCCATCTCACTTTGCTCTTGAGACCTTATTAGTAATATTATAAAACAAGTTTTCCTTTGGTTTTGCTGCGTTATACGTGTTAAATACTGGCAATAAATTTCTAGGTAATAATTTCTGGCAATAATTTCTAGGTACTAATAATAATTCTAGGTAACGTTAGCCTAGAAATTAATACTGCACAACCACAGGTGAAGAATGTGAAATTGTTCAATCATTTTCTTTTCATTTGCTGGAAACACATGATTAAAATATGCAGTTATCTAGTAGTTAATGATATGTATATATTTATACATGTCAATGTTGTTGTGCACGGAGTGGAGTTACCATCACAGGAGCACATGGATAACACTAATGATCCCCCAAACACTACGTGGAGGGAAAACACCTTATTTCAAAAACCTTATTAATTAATAAGATTTAATAATCTTATTAATAAGGTTAATTAATATCTTCTAATTAAATCTTAGAAGTTTATTTGTAATGTGGTGGCGGCCCCGCTCAGTGTCAGACATTACTCTCTCACCGAGGCGGCGGACGGGTGTTTATGACTCCTGTGTTGGCCTCAGTAAGGTGTTTGGTCTATGTGTTTAACAACTTTTGTGCTGTTCAATCTCTGTTGAAATCTTACTTGGTTTGTAACTGTGCATTGTGATAGGTAATGTTGCAGTGAATTGTTGGACATTCCTCCACAGTGCTGACATTTCCTCTTATTCTCGAACCTGAAAACTTATTTTCCCATGTACATATGTATTCAAGCCTGATGTCGTGTATGTGTACTTCTGTTCCTCTATTGTTCCCTGTCAACAAAATGTGTACTTCTGTTCCTCTATTGTTCCCTGTCAACAAAATGTGTAGGTCGTAGTTGGTTGAATTCTTGTAGTAACCCGCAGATCCTGACGCTGCAGCTGCTGTGGTGTGGTCACTGTACATCTTCTCTACTGCTCTGTCTCTTATTATTTGTTTACTCAGTGCTAGACTGGTGCGTAACTCCTCCTCTTTGTTGCAAGTTTTGCTGCTTCATCTGCACTGTCATTTCCTGGTATTCCCACATGACTTGGCGCGCAGTTGATAAGTATCAGATAACCTTGACGTTTGAGTGTTTGCATTAATGTTATGACATTTGTAATCAGATGTTATCATATAAGTGTTCTTGTTCCAAGGTTTCAATGTCAGTGCTGGAATCTGCATGTATGATAGCATGTTGTCGGTGTTCAGCAAGAGCATGTTCCAAAGCCTTTTGAATGGCTAGCATTTGTGTTTGTAAAGTTGAACACACGTTTGAGTCTCCAACTATATAATCTCCTGCCTTAACTGCAGCTTCTTGTTTCTGCTGGTCTACTTTTTTTTCTTGCTTCACATACCGTCTTTGAAATATGTGAAGCTTTCAGATATCAAGTTTGCTTCTATATTCACCTGTGCAATGTTTCGTAGCAGATAGGGACTAGTCTGATGATTTCTTCCTTGAAGAAACATAAGTCTTAAGGACGGCTCACAGGGATTACCACACAACGAAGTCTGAAGAAGTATCGTCGACACCCATCTCAATGATTGTATTTGTGATCTCGAATGTATTGATAGTGTTTATTGCATAATGGGTCCACCTGTTGCTATTGGAAGCTCTTCTGTCCCGAGTTAGTGCTCCAGTTATTATATCTTTAAGTGAAATGATTCTTGGTCTAGTCAACATCTTGGTCAGCATGCAGGCAGCAAGCCCGTTTATCCTTGTTTCAACCCATGTTAGTTTAGTTTCCAGTCTTAAGTGTAGTATTTTAGTTCATCTGGGAGCTCCTGTTATGACTCGCATTGCATCATTTTGGATAACTTCAACCTTTGCCCACTGACCAGGAGAAAGAGTGAGTAAGGCAGGCTCTGCATAATCAACTAGGGAACGAACGGCGTGCATGTAAAACATTCTTAACACTGTTGTGTCCCACTCCTAGACGGGGCCCTGTGATTGCTATTATATTCAGTTGTGATTTTGCTTTCTCCTTCATATATTGAATTTGCTTGTTGAATGTCATTTTAGAATCTATCCACACTCCGAGATATTGATATTGTGTTATCTAATGTCTTGTATGTGTAGGTGTGTCCGGAGTGCTGCCACCTAGTGTCTTAGATTCCTGTCCAGACATTTTAGTTCTAAAATGTTGCACTCAGATGTTACTTTATCTAACGCCACTTGTGCTTTAGTCAAGCATGAAGGACCTGTGACGACTAATGCTATATCAGCATAGCCTACCAATTGACCCCCCCCCCTTCTGCAAGCGTCACGGTGACTAGATTTTCTACTCTGTTCTGCTTTCCCTGTGAGGGACAGCAGAACCTCACCGCGAACCTCTTTTGGTTCGCGGTAGAACCTATTATGTCCACTACGACAACGTTTAACCATCCCCAGAATGTAACCCACAACAGGTACCTATTTATTTCTAGGTGTACAGATGCATCAGGTGAAAGGAAACATTACATAAGCGCTACTGCCCTGCCGTGGGGGATCAAACCTACGATCCTGGGCTGTGAGGCGACGACGTAGCCCACTGTGCCAGGGAGTGTGTGTGCATATTTCAGTGAGCGAGAGAAGGAGGCGGTGTGTGTGAGCGGACACAACAGTGACCACCAGCCCGCAGGGTCAACACTCACTCCAACCTCACTTCCGGGTCCATCTTTTCAACCATTTCATCTTCAAGCTACACACGAAAAAGCAACAGGAAAAGTAAGAGAGGGGTGAGTAGTGAGGAGGGGCTGGTGGTGCACCTCCTGCTGCTCCACCCACAGGTACACGAAGGGTTGAATGTGCCGTGCTCCAGCAACACACAAAACATGATCATGTCCTGTTTTTAATTTTACGGGACTTTTCATGCCATTTTTCAGGGGTGGAGAAAATATTAAACAATAAAGAAGTTATTTGTTGTTGTTGTGGAAAGTCACGTAGGGGATACTCGTGCCTACCTGACTGTCTGCCTGCCGTCCTGTCTGCCTGCCTGCCTGCCTGCCTTCCTGTATGCCTGCCTGCCTGCCTGCCTGCCTGCCTTCCTGTATGCCTGCCTGACTGTCTGCCTGCCGTCCTGTATGCCTGCGTGCCTGCCTGCCTGCCTGCCTTCTTTCCTTCCTTGCTGCCTTCCTTTCTGCCTTCCTCCACCGCGCCTGGTTCCTGGCAAAGATATCTGCCGGCATGACATGTGCAAGGTCAGGGTGCCAAAGTCATTTAGTCTGCCTGGTAGGACACTCCAAGGTTA